GACATGACTGTTTAAAAGGAATCTTGAAGAAGTACTTTGTTTCTAGTTAGATATGAATTCCTCAAGCTGAAAAAGTGTGCAACTGTAATGCAAAATTAAAATCTGATAAATCATGATGAGATGTATACAAAATTACAGGCTATCAACTCTTTCCCTAGGAGCACACAAACCCAGCTGCCATACGCCTTGCATAAAGTGATGTTCATTCCTACCATAAAGGTACCTCAAATTGTTCATATTTGTTGAAAAAGCACAAACTTACTCCAAAAAGAAAATTTTGTAACACTTAAACGTTTCAATTTCAGAAATTTAGTCAGAAATAGATTGTAATGAAAAAGGCTGACAACTATGAAATGCAAATGTTTTATTATGTTGCAACAGAACGATGCAACCTTCTTTCTAATAGAATTTTAATAGAATTTTATCTCAAATGTTTTTGTAGACCACACCTGTAATAACAGGTATAGGAGAGTAAACTAGAGACTGAAAGCTAGGGGGCTGGGGCTGCTTTTCCTTATTCTCTGTGTAACCTGCATCAAGCTTCTTTGGTTAACTGCTGAAAATTACTGTTAAAAACAGACTGATTACGTGTACATTCTCTACTGTGAATATATGAAAATCACTATGTGAACTGCAGATTAAGAAATGAATATGGAAGCAATCTTTGCAGTAGTGAACGCTACTTATAAGCAGAAATGAAAATAAGGCCTGAAAAAATTCAGTCCTGTATGGGATTTGAACATTATTCATCACTTCACAGGTTTATTACGAAGCAAAAATATGACCAGATCCCAGCTGGCTTGTTATGTTGATACCTCAGTTGGAAGAGCACTACACTGGTATCACATAGGTCATGTGGGTTCAAATCCTATACAGGCCTGAATTTTTTCAGGCATTATTTCCACTACTGCTCAAGCAGTGTTCATTACTGCAAAGAAGGCTTTTATATTAATGTAGTTTCTTTCTTCTGTCAATTAAGGGACAAGGAAGTGAAGAACAAAAAGCAAAATGGCTGCCTCTTGCAGAGTCCTTTCAGATAATAGGAACATATGCCCAGACTGAAATTGGCCATGGTGAGTATGAAGGTCTATGAACAAATTCTCCTTGTCAGCGTCTCATTAAATGTATAGAGAACAATATGGAGAATATACATACTGATGTTAGGATGGAAAAGGTTAGGTATTTGGCATTTAGTAATTTGATGAATTATCTTATGTATAAATTTTATTTTCAGGAACTTTTGTGCGTGGCCTGGAGACAACAGCAACATATGATAAGACCACACAGGAGTTTATTATTCACTCGCCGACTCATTCAGCGTGTAAATGGTGGCCTGGAAATCGTATGTTCGAAATTATGTTATATATGGATGCATTTTAAAGATTTGGTTAGAAAAGATACTTAAGTACCAGGTAATGAGGAGGAGTTGTGGGCGAGAAGGGATTGGGACAAGAGAGGGTATTTCTCTACCTAGACGGCTGTTTTCGTTCAATCGCCAAATCTTGAATGACCTTATGTAAAAAAAAAAAAAGGGAATTTGCCCCTGTAGATTCATCATTGTTGTTAAATTTATTGCTTGAATTCTTTAGTAATCTGTACTTAACGCTATACTACTTCCATTCTGAAGTATTGATTTAAATGTCAGTTTTTTGTTTCCTTTTTTTTCCTCATGGTTGAATAACCCGCGTGTAAAAAGCAGAGTAATTTACTTTTGCAGATTTATGAGTGCGAATAAATTGATCGCCTAAACTCTGTCCTTTCTTAATGTTATGCTACAGTGCTTCCATTTTAAAATGTTGATTTAAAATGTTTTCTAGTGGGAAAAACTTCTAATTTTGCGACCGTGCCCGCAAGGCTGATTGTTGATGGAACTGATCATGGAATTCAGATGTTTCTAGTTCAGTTACGAGATCTAGAGACTCATCAACCTTTGCCAGGTAAGGGATCTCTGCATGAGAGAAAGCAAAAGAAAAAAAAGAAAAATGCAGACACTCACATCCACTCCACAGGCCCCCCAAATTCATGACGCAACGAACCTGAAGAGAACTTTTCCTCAGATAGATACACGTATGAGATGTAAACGCAAGCGCAAACGCAAGAAGACGAGAATGGGTATAGTTCTTTTTTCATTTCTTGCTTACACGACTGTGCCTGCGTTTGTGTGTAAGTCCGCGCAGCAAATACGT